TCAAGGTCTCTCAAAAAAGACTGTGAGGAAGAACATCACTTCTTCATCACACTTCTCTCAAGACTACATGTCCTTCCTGATATAAAATACAGGGGCAAGAGATGAAGGTGGAGGAATAGGCACAGCAGGAGTATTACCATTTCCAAACTGTCCATGTTTTTTACTCACCTGGTTCCTCCTGCAGAGATCTGTGTATCTACAGAAAGGCAAGCATCCCACTGCCTTTTCAGAGCCCAGGAATGATGCTGCAAAAGGCCACAAACAGGGACAAAAGTAGGAACAATTTCACTTCTTTTTATTTTGGTCAGGTTCACAGGAAGAAAATATTCTGTTCACATGGAGTAAAATGTTGAAACAGTAAAATGTTGAAACAGTAAAATGCACTCCCCAGTATTAGCCAATATTCCCAAAGTCCTTTACTGATAAAAAACCCCAAACTTATTTCCAATGCTTTATGGGTTGAATTACCTTTCTCTCCCTACCCACCCCCACTTTTCTCTTTGGAGAGAACTGAAGCTTTAACAGCTTTCCCCCAGTAATACATGGAATTTTACAGCAGAGCCAGAAATAAAACTAGGTCTTCTTGATATCTCTACTTCCTAATGCAAGAGCAGCAGGAACTAAGCATTCATTGCCCATAGAATTATCTGTCTTTTTTAAACTATGTGCAAACATATATGAGCCAACATGAATAGGGAACTGTTTTCCCAGGTAATCTGCACCTGTGATTTCCTCTTGCTAAGAATGCCTCACTCAAGCCCCTTTTTGCTCCCATTCTCTCCCCACCTGCTGCCATCCGCCACAGCACAGCAGTGCAGAGTCCCTGTGCAGCACTGAGGAAGATGAACTGCTGCAGTCACTCAGCTGGCTCCTTTGCCTTTTTTAGTGCCCCCAGAGAGCTGGGAGAGTTCAAAGAAAGTGAACCTATTGTCTGAATCCCTTCACATTGAAACTGTGCCTGAGAAAGCCCTGGCTCTGATGAGGAGACCTACACTCCAGCTGTTTCAAACACAGTAGCAACATCAAGGGTAGCCACTGCAAATCCTGATTTTTTTACTGCCCCTTCAAAAATAACTTTTACAAGTACTTTTTTACCACATGTAAGCTGAGCTTTTTCCTTGGCTCTTGGGAATGAAGGGCAACCTTGTAATTTGAGTAAGAGGAAGCCTGGAAGTGTGCTCTCCCCAGAGACCTACAAGGGAGTAACAACTGAGCTGCTGTGCCTCTCTTGTTTTTGGGAGAGGGAATATACAGCTTTGCTCCTTTCTGCAGGCACCAAGCCAGACAGTCTGCTCAGTGTGAGCCAGAACAAATTCTGTTCCCCATGGCCTTCCAGTTGCTGCTTACAAGAGAGAATGAGGTGAGCAGAGGCACACCTCTTCTTGCCTGGAGGCACAATGCCCCCAGCTAGCCCGGGATGAAAACGTGTTACAGGCATATGCAGTGATTGGTACTCTGACACACACACCTGTACACCAACAACCTGCCCATAAATTCTGATGTAGCAATGACAGAGGTATGATGAGTTAAGTGACAGGCTGGGCTCCTTCCCATTAGTGTGTCAGCCAGCTGAGTAAGAGCCAGCATGAGCTTTTTATGGACCAGGCTTGTCGAACATTCCATATGCACAACCATCATACCTTTATGCTCCAACTCTGTCAAAGGCAAACCAGACTTGGACACAGACAGAATCTACATTTAAATAACATTGGATTCATTGAAGAAGCACTTAAGAAGAAGATATGACGGAAGCTGATGATTAATTAGGGTGTTTCTCTCAATTTTTCTTTCAGCAAGTATTTTGAAATATCCCTTCTGCTTTAGAATAGGGTGATAGAGTACTGCACCTCCAAGGTGTGTTACTGAATCACAGTCAGAATCAGCATTTGCTTTCAGTAGATACACAGGAGCAGAGAACTTCAGTAAGAATGTTAAGCAAAGAGGTTCATCTTCTCTTAATTAACCCATGGAAGTTCCTGCACCATGCTGCTCTGAACCCAGGAACTTTCTCATGGACCTGCATTATTTTGCATTTTCCTAAGAGTTTAGAATGTGTTTTTAAGTAGACTCTCTGCCTGTCTAGGACTTCATTATGATCTAAAAAGAGACTGTCAATGATGGAAAAACTTTATTTGCCTTATTTGCATTCCCTAAAATTATTTTTAATCTCAGCTTTTATTTCTCTAGTTCTAATAAAGATCCTGTGTTTTTAACTAGAAAAAATATGGGAGAGACAAATGATCCATCATTGAGGATGACAGATGTTCTTAACTGTGCAGAATAGAAAAAAATTCCTACAAATTTTCTACTGTCAGACTCTGCAATGATTTTTCACATGTGCAAAGAACTGCAAATCAGTGGGTAAGGGAACAGAATGGGATGAGACATGGAGGTGGGGATTATGATGGCACAGGAAAAAAGAACCACCTTCATCTGTAATGTGTGAACAAGTTGTCAGTAAATTAGTCCCTGACCACTAAGATAATGGTTTCTAAATGGTGTGGGAATTAACTTTATTCTGCTGCAGTTTGTGCTCTTACTTTATTCCTCAAAGACCTCCTAGCTGGTCAATACTTTAATCCTGCAGTTCCTTTTCTCTGTAGCTGCAGTTCTGAGGTGACTAAAAGCTCAGGTCAGCTTAATAAAAGGTGCTGAACTCTTGCCTTAAGTCTGCATTATGACTAATTTAATTGCTCAAAACTTCCTCTATTTCCTTAGGAAGTGAACAGCTCATGGTTCCATTTTGCCAAAAAGCAGATGCATTAAGTCTTCCACACTTCATCTAAAAATTTAGGGGTGCATTAAGGGAAAAAATTACCAGGCTACAGAAGGAAAGTTTGCCTCCTGAGGAAAGGAGTTTCAATGATTTCCAAAAGGTAATTTTTCCAAATTCACAGATTCTCTGTGTTACCTATTGAAATGTTTGAGTAGAGAGACAAACATGTACAACCTCTAAAGGGAAAAAAAAATAAAAATGAAAGAGGTAAAAAAAGAGAAGACTGTATAACAAAAATAGACAAAGGAAAAAAAACAGGCAAAAAAAGAAGTACTAAAAAAAAAAAAAGGAGGATAAAAAGTCATTACCTTCAAGACTCTCCAGGTATAAGCTGCTCAGCAGGGAATTTGAGAACTGGCACTGCCAGCACAGGGAGATAGCACAGCAATGAAGGGCATGACACAAGACAGCCAGGCATGTATCATTTTCTCTCTCCTTCCCAAGGACACCACATCAGGACAGCTGTCATTCAAAGGATGCTCATTCAGCTCTTTCTGGCCACTGCTCACCACCAGCCACCTGCCAGGCAGGTGTCACTGCTGTCAGGCAGTCGTGCTCCTCTCCCTCTGCCTGAGCTTGCTCACCAGCAGCTGCTCCAGTTGGGATTTATGAGACACAGATCCTCTTCACATTCACTTTAAGAAGAAGCCTGCAGGTACTGCCACATTTATTGCTTCCCGACCTTCTTTCAGCCACATGCTGTTATTTAGCCCAGGACTTCTTTCTTTTGACAGCTGCCTAGACAATGCAATCCTGAAACAGGAATGGGGTTTGTTTCTAGGCATAGTCCCAGCACTAATAGCTACTGATTTGAGTTTCCTTTGTCCCCACCCCTGAGAGGTACATCTGGCCTTAGGCTGTAAACCCATGTTTGATGACATGTTGTTCACTTGATAATTACTCAGTATGACATGGGAGTTCACAGCTGTATGTGACTTCCCTGTTTGCACAGTCTAGCAACTGAAGATTTGTCTTTCCAGCAACACTTCTCTGCCTTCAGGGGAATACAGGGCAACACCATCTGCTTGCAGATGTTTTTATATGAAAACTTACTGTGAATTTTGAATACATGGACACAAGTGATGCATTATACCTGGAAACAGGTAACAACAATCTGTGTGCCCAGATTGAGAGGTCTTTGAAACCCAAATCTTTTGTGCTACAATTGTTCAGTTTACCATTTCAGAACTGGAAAATTTACCATGGTTATTGGGCCCAGTCACATAATTTACCAGACTACACCTGAAGCTTGAGCCTGGGGCCTAAGCATCCTGAGAGATGTAGGTGCAAAATGTTCAGTGAATCAAGCAGGAGTATAGGCTTGACATAAATTTAATTGCCATGAAACTTCCCAATGTGTAGTTTGCAACACAGAGAAATATTAAGAGTTTAAAATGTATATTCTAGTGAAAGGAAAAAAAAAAAAACCCAAAACACATTCAAGTGACTGACTGCTTGAGTCTTATTCAATCAGAACTTTTCTTTTTGTTTTCCAAAGGAGGTCCCCAGTGATTTTATAACAGACTCAAAACTCTGGGGCTGAATGGAAAAAAAAACCCGGTAATCTAAGATGTTTGGTTGAGCTATTCCAGATTTACCCTGGGTTTAATCAGCAGAATTTAGCCCTTCTTAAGAAAATGTAAGAAAGCTTGCATGTTGCAACAGGTAAGGAAATAACAGAAATTACAGCAAGTGCAACCACACGTAGTCTATGAATATTGCAGCTTTTAAACAGGTCATATGGCCTCGTGACAAGCAAAATATCTGATGAGAAAATAAGTAGGAGACAAAGTAGGGAATTTAAATTGTATTTGATTCTGCTTTTACTTATGCTGCTGTAAATCTACACCAGCCAAAAATCTGACATGTGGGACATAACACAGGAGAGTATCTTGGGAAAACCTACCTGTAACTTCAATAAATGAATAATGCACTTTAACATACTGACAACAAAAAAGAAAAAAAGGAAATAAAAATTAAGTGGACTACATGCTAATCTGCATTTAGGAAAATGCTTTCACTGCAGAATATTTCAAGTTCCAAACACCCAGGGCACTGTGAAATGAAAATATTCCTTTTTTTGCTTAGCCTTAGAAACATTTCCTAAATATTTACCTGTCTGATAATTTGTATAATTTTGTCTTTGCTTTATAAGAAAAAAATATAATACCATTTACTGATTGGATGGATAACAAAGAAAAAAAAAACAATTACCCAGAAATCCTTAATGGGGAACATAATCTTTTTTTAAAGTATTTATTTCATTACAACATAAATTGGGAGTACATAAAAAGCTTTACCTATATATGCTTCAAAAATTAAATCAGTTACACATATAATTCACCTGAACTGTGAACAGTGTCTAAAGAATTTGCATTCATCTGTTGAAAGTGGAAGCATCAACATTGTTATTTCATGATTTCACAGATTTGTCGAGGGTTTATTCACTAAGACTTGAAAGCAAAGCAAGAGACTCCTGCAGAAGGTAGCTTATTAAACACTCTGGTGGTTTGAGAAGCATTGCAGGTGAAATATGGTAAGAAGTAGCAATATAATTGGTAAAAAACCTAGCCTGTTCAAGAAATATTTGAAAAAACCTGGCCCTATAGTCATCACTGTTTCAAGTACCAAGTGTAGTTTCCCATTCCTGCTATTTGTTTCAACTGGATATACAGTAGCTACTTTTTGACTCTGAATTCATCTCTTCCCTCCTACTCACTCCCATTTCTTTCCTTTGAGTAATAAATGAAAGTTAGTCTGTGAAATAGGATGCTGCTGCAGTTTAACCCCAGCCAGCAGCTCAGCCTCACACAGCCACTCACTCACTCCTCCCAGTGATTTGGGGGAGAGAATCAGAAGGGGGAAAGCAAGAAAACTCATGGGTTGAAATAAAGACAGTTTAATAACCAGCTGCACCTACAAGCAAAGCAGAACAAGCAATTCATACACTGCTTCCCATGGGCAGGTAGGTGTTCAGCCATCTCCAGGGAAGCAGTGTTCCAACACACATAGAGGTGACTCAGGAAGACAAACTCCATCACTCCAAATGTCCTCCCTTCCTTTTTCTTCCTCCATCTTTATATGCTGAGCATGACAACAAATGGTCTGCAATATCCCTGTGGTCAGTTGGGGTCAGCTGTCCCAGATGTGTCCCCTCCAAAGCTCTTGTGCACCACCAGCCTCCTTGCTGCTGAGGTGGGGTGAGGAGCAGAAAATGCTTTGGCTCTGTGTGAGCACTGCTCAGCAGCAATGAAAGCAGCTCTATTATCAGCACTGTTTTCAGCATAAATCCAAAACACAGCCCCATACCAGCTACTGTGAAGAAAATTAACTTGACCCCAGCAAAAACCAGCACTCCTGCTGATTCCTAATACCAGAGGGTTCATTCCAGCAGCTTTCAGCATTCAGTAGGCCAAACCAAATGAAACGTGTGTGATCGCATACTCTGAGCACGCAATTTTACTGAGCTTGTGTGTCAATCTCTGCTTTTAGTAGCAGTAATATGAAGTCAGAATAGTTCCAGTAACCTAGTAAATGCATGGAACTATTACAAACTTGCACTACATTACCTCAGAGTAGGAACTGAGGCAGGAAATAGGTAAAAATAGGTAAAAACATACTTTGCTACAATAGTACTCAGACTCATACTATTGCTAAAAGCTAAACAGAGGCTGTTCTGCTAAACCAGTGCCAATCCACTCTGGAAAATAAAAGCAGAAAAAAGACAAATTAATAAAATGCTTTTTACTATGACTGCTCAACAGTACTACTGTTTCCCCTTCTTGTGTTTTCTTAAGTTTCCCAGGAGCAATGCTACTGGGTAAAAACAAAAAAGCCCAAAGATAGGATTCTGTCTAGATCTGGATTAATTCCAGCAGAAAACACTACATATCAGTCCAGACACAAAGCACCAGCAACACTGTTAAGTTTTGTGATAATGAAGGTTAACACATTTATGGAGCAGTCAACAGAATACATGATGTAAATCAGGAAAAGCAATAGCCACTCATGAATAGTGGTAATTGGGATACAGCACTCTGAGAGCCAATTAAACAGCACAGGAGAGGTATGGCTTTCATGTGAGTAATTTATTCTTTCATCACTTTAAATTTTACCAGGTATTTATTTACAAAGTAACTTTCTGTGGATAGAATTTACATCAGCAACTGCACATTTTTAGCCATTACTAGGGTAAGACTAACATCCTCCCCATGTTGCTTAACAGTGCCAGTTTTGATCAAACAGGATTATTCTTTTGCCAATTACTTTTTTGACTTAGTTTCAAGTGTAAACAGAATCTGTACACATGCTTTTGCTGCAATGAAGATTCTATTTTACAGAACCAGTTAGTAGATAGAAACAGTAAGCTTTCATCTGTTAATCGCATTTCTTTCTTGAAATCGGGATTTAGTTTTAGGTTCAATGAAGGCTTTAGGCATTTCATTGTTAGGTACTGCAATGCCTCTTTACTAAGATGGTACCCCTGAGAAGAATCCAAATTACCTGTCTGGCTGCCCAGTACAGCATATAGAGGAGCTCACCTCAGACTGGTCACCCAAAACACAGAGCCTGTCTGCAAAAGCTTTCCAAAGAAAACACATCTGATTGTATCAACTCATACAAGATCCATGCTGAATTACCCATCCAAGAGGTGGGGCCTGGAATCTACTCAGAACTCAACGTACAGGAGCCTGTGTGTGTGAGCTTTTGGAGGATTTGCATGAAGCTCACCCCTGAGGAAGAGCTGCAGGATGTGGTTCCCATGTACCTCTCCTGAGCAGCCATCGAGGTTTGAGAACACACACACACACACACACACACACACACACACACACACACACACACGAACAGCAAGGCCCCAGTTCAGTCCTCACTAAGCTTCTGGGAATTCAAGCCTCAATTCCCTAGCAGACAACCTTGAAAACAGGGGTAGTGTAGGGAGGAAAAATTATTCCCTGAAAAATTAGGGCAACTATCTCCTGCATGTCCCATTAAAATGGGAGGACTGTAACATTCAGGGGGAAGAAAGACAGCAGGGCAGACTATGTCTCTCTAGCTTGTCTCAGATCACTCTGTGAGGATGACTACCTTGTCTAACTCCAAGAGTTTCTTTAGTCCATTGACAACCAACCAGAGGGTGGGAGATGTGGACTGAATGCTTGGAGGCTAAGAAAGCACACACAGGTCTTCATGTTCCTATGCCAAGTACACTTCAGGCTACTCTAGAGAAAAGGGCTGATTTAAAAGCAAAACACACATGCAAACACAACTTGAGGGTGGCCTGGCCTTTCAGTTTGTACCTAAATTAAACCCTATTACATCAGTGGTTTCTGGATATCCCACTTGGTAGGCAGGTGTGGAACTGCTCTGAGCAGTTCCAAATGGGTGGAGGGGAACTGCTCAGCAGCTCCACATGTCAAAGAGACAGTTGTGCTAGGTTTAAGTAAAACTAGAGGGTTCTGGAATGACAATTTCAGTCTTTAAATGCCTGAAGACTAAGTTATGGTTTTAGTACCCAAATTTGGGGGCGGGCAGGGAGGGGTGGGGTTTCTTTGTGAAGATAGAATTGGGGGAGAAAACAATTCTCAGCAAACCTGCCTCAGGCCTACCAGGGAGGAAACAGAGGCCACAGAGTAGGAAATCTGGCTAGAAACATGCCTCTGATGTTAATCATCAGTCTGTGACTATGCAGTGTACAAAGGACACAGAATTGATAGACAGCTGCTAATGAAGCCCAGACTCTCCCCACTGACACTGTGTACACAGTGAAAGCAGGTAAGCACTTGATTCAACTTTTTTAAAAAATAGAAGCTAGCAAAAACACCCACCACTGCAGGTTTCTTGAACAGTTATTACTGTAGAAATGTATTTCTTCATAGTGTACAGCAATTAATATTGGAAGAAAGGATATGGTTCATTCTATCCCAAAAGTTTGTGGATTATTGTAACATCTTAAACCATGGAAACTTCCCAAAATTCATTTAGAAGCATTTTCATGGATTAGCAGAATGAAAATGCTTAATTAATAGGAATGCAAAACCTGGCTTGATACCTTACTACACTGTAGTATAAGAACTATACTACGTAAGTCTTTGAACTATGAAATTGCCTTGTATTGCAAGATAAAACAGACATTTCCTTGTGCTCCTGGTGATGCTACTATTTCAAAATCTGGCCAAGCACTTACATCTCTAGTTTAAGTATGCATCTAAAGCCTTGCATTACACAGCTTGAAATACTTTCTACAGTTAACATAAAAATTATGCTGAAAGCAAACATGTAATTTTTCTTTCCTGCTCAAACTACAATGCTGTAATTTAATCTAGAGTCAATATTTCCAAGGATTCTCATCTGAGAATTAAATCAAATATTCTGTGAAGGATGTTAAATTCCACTGCACCAACCTGTACTGAGGCTAAGATAAATGTCACACTCTGCAGGCCTACAGCTCCTGCCTGGCTTATGCTTTAATTAGCTCACTAGGGAACAGGCTCACTTGGCTAAGAACTTTTAAGACTGGATCACTGTTTTCTATAGAATGACTAACCAGATCAGCTGCATTAAAACCCTGTGCAACAGCAATGAGAAAAAAGAAAAAAAACACAAAACAAAAACCCAAACAATAAAGAGAAAGAAAGAAGTATCTATGAAGTTCACTATTCTCTTTTGTACAGATGCTGTTTCATAGGACAGAGCCTGCTGCCTTCCTTTGGAACTAGCAATTATGTGTAAGAATGCTAAAGTCCTGTTTAACAAAACCTCTTAATAAAACATAAAAATATCTGCTTTTTTTGATGCAAGGTCCCTATGTCTTTCTAAAATATGAATCTATACTAGAGCTTTGAGTATAAACAATTCTCTTCCACAGTCCATGCGAGTTCCATGCTGAATATTCAGCACTGAACCACCAAAAACACAGGTTCTTTTTTCAGAAAAGGTTTCTCAGTGATTTACCATAAAGCTAAAACATTTGCCTTGCCTACTGATTTTTTTAAAATATAAAATGTATAAAATAAATGCATGTGCCCTTTTCAATATAGTCTGTCTGTGTAGACATTTCATGTTTTCCAGTTCTGAGTAACATGACAAAAAGTGTGCTCCAACTTTCCACAGGCAGGAAGAAGTTTTGTATGGTTTTGCCTCACTTGGATGCTGCCCCACAAACAGCACTCTTGGGCAGTTTAGAATCACAATGACAGCATATGCCATCAGCACGTACTGCAATTAACAAGGACTTATTGATTACAGCAATCATTAGTTCAAAATAAATAAAGCAGTCTCTCAAAAGACAGGGAAGTAACATCATGCTAGTGCACAATTTAATATGTGTAGCACATTCCTGTTTTCCATGTCCCCTTTTGATGGTCTTGAAAATAAGTGGGAAAGGCCTTTTGCCACAGGTTGATTTAGGTTAACCTTCCTTGACCTGCAGTTAATTAAAGAGCATATGAAGTACAAAGTTTTTTCCCAGCTCTAGTAGCATACATGGTCATGTCAATTGGTTGCAATTTGAACAGCTTCAGTTCATTTTTAATTCAAAATCTCTGATCAAGAAAAGTAATAAAACAGTATATTTTCATACAGAAAACATTGCCTTTTTCAATTAAAGAACATATCAACATTTCATATCTACCATAAAATGCCACATTATAGAACGGTAACTTGCCTTTTTTTTTCTTTTTTCTTTGCATTCCAAGTAAAACATGTGGCTCACATTTGTGTTACTTAAAACACAAGTTTTAAGTAATTAAGTTTGGTATCTCATCAACCTCATCTGTGGCTGAAATTCCTGGGACTAATACAGTGCCACAGCTTCCTTAAACCATCTATTGCACCAGAAATGAAAGGCTGTGATGGAGAAGTTCTTCCTATACTTTTTAAACACAGGAAATAGTTGGTTTAATGCAGCTAAACTATGTTGCCAGCAATATTTATCCCTCAGTATCATCCCAGAGGGGAAAAAAAACCACAAATGACAGAAAAGGCTCCAGCCCAGATTGCAACTATGTGTAAACACACAACCAACACTAATGTCCCATTATGACACTGTTGTCAAGAATATTTTAGAAATCCAGGTTTAAAAACGTTTTTCTCAGATTGGGGAATGGCACAAACATAATCCAGAGATTATCCTTTATAGCAGCTTTTACTTTTGTGTGCTTGGCTTTTCACACAAAGCCCAGCAAACATGAGAAGAGTTACAGCTGAGTTAAAACCAGCTCAACATCTTGAGACCAGAGAGGAGGAAAGAGGAAGTCCCTTTTCTCTGCAGACACAACAGAGAAGGTCCCCTGCGTAGATGGGAGTTTGTGGATCTGCAAGCCAGCTCCCCTCTCAGGAAGCCAGAGCCAGGCTGGCCACTTTACAGTGGGAGGGAGCCCTCCTGGTCCCCTGTTTTGTCCAGCCTCTCAGGCAGAGTAAGCACGAAGGGCAGGAGGACACCCTTGGCATCCAAGGGAGCTTTAAGAAGCTCCCCATCAAAGGTGCCCTTGAGCCCACCATCGGCTTCCACCTCACCGTCCTGGGCTAGGCTGAAGCGGAGGGTGCCGGTCCGGTTGACGCAGTAGATGGTGTTGCCCAAGGGGGCACAGCGGAAGGGCTGGATGGGGCCGCCGCTGGGCCGCAGGCTGGCGCACTGGCTCCAGCACTTGGCCACCGTGTTGTACCGGAAAACCTCAACGCTGCCGCTCGTGCCTGGGCCCTGCTCCCCACCGCGGCCGCTGCTCACATCAAAGCGGTAGATGAAGCTCTTGAAGGCCACCATGTCAGCAGAGCGCCGGCGGCTGCTGTTGTAAGGGCACTCCTGCCACTCGTCGCGCTTGGGGTCGTATTTGAGCAGGCGGTAGAAGAGGGAGCCGCCTGACACGTAGATCTCCCCGTTGCAAGTGGTGGCCTCGTGAGCCACAGCAAAGGCACCCTTGGGCAGAGGCGCCACAGGGCTCCAGCGGTCGGCCCGCGGGTCATACCTTTCCACAGTGAAGAGGCACTCGCCCCCCACAGCATAGAGGTAACCATCCAGGGCCAGCAGCTTGAGCTGCGAGCGGGGCTGAGCCAGCGGCCGCACCTGGCTCCAGGTGTCAGTCAGGGGATTATAGCAGAAGACCTTGTCGGAAAGGCGGGCCCTGGGTTCGCTGCCCACCGGCCCCGTCACGATGCCCCCTGCAAGGAAGAGGTAGTTGTGGAGGACACACATGGCACAGCCCTTGGCGTTGGCCTCCTCGGGCAGGCGCGTCAGCACCCTCCACTCACCGCTGCTCTCCTGGTAGTAGTGAATGAGGGAGCCACTCTCCTCCAGCGACACCACGGAGGAGGGACTCTGTGGCCGACTGCTCTCGCGGCTCTGTGGCCGGCTGCCACCACCCGGCCGCTCGAAGGCGTCGCTGACCTCGGCCACCAGTAAGCAGGGCCGGCCGGCATCCATGCGCTGCTGCAGGATGAGGTCCCGCTCAGCGCCACTGAGGCGGCCGTAAACGCTGGGCTCCCGCAGCACTTCCAGGTAATGGTCGCTCATGAAGCGATAGGCAGCCTCCCGCAGCTCGGCCAGCCGCTGCTTCTTGGCCAGGCAGAGGAGCTGGTAGCAGTTGCCGAGGCAGAGCTGGGCGCGCATGGCCTCGGCGGCACAGTGCAGGGCACAGGGCATCTGCAGGACGCGGGCGCCGCTCACCACCTCAGCCAGGTTGTCGTGCCGCACCTCGCCCATGCGGGCCGTGTACACGTAGTCGATGAGCAGCCGCAGCGCCCCGTAGCTCACCCCCTTCACCCGCAGGACGTCCCGTGAGGCGCGGGCACGAAAATAGTCACTCTTGGCCGCCAGCACTGACTTGTGCGCCCGAATACGGCGGCCCGACACCTCGATCACCAGGTCGGGCTCCTCCGGCGGCCGGTCCCGCTGCCCCACCACCTCCTCATCCTCCTCCTCCGGCTGGCAGGCAGCGTTGTTGATCTCCCACTGGTTCTGCACCACTCGGCCGCCGGCCGCGGGCGGCTGCGGCTCGGCAGCGGCGGCGCTGAAGCAGAGGGAGGAGCTGAAGCCGCAGGGGGCGGCCGGCGTGGGCGGCGGCGGCGGGGGGGGAGCGCCGTTCGCGGCCCCGCTCTCCTCCTCCTCCGGGGCCGCGCCGCTGCCCTCCATGGAGCCGCGCTACCTGCGGCGGCGCCGCGCCTGGTCCGTGCGGAGCGCTGCCGGCCGCCGCGGCGCGGCCATCACCTGCGGGACAGACCCAACAGCGCTCAGCATCCGCGCCTTCCTCCTCCCCCGCCGCTTCTTTCCCCCCACACCTCCCGCCTCCCAGGATTAGTATTCGGGGCCGCCGCTCTCGCAGGCGGGGCCGCCTCTGGTTTCCGGGGCTAAACCGCCGCTTCTCCTTTTGCTGGGGGATCCACCCTGCGGCTCGGCCGCCCCCCGCGTCAACTGCGCTAGCTCACCCCCGAAAACCGGAGCTCTTTCGGTGGGATCGCCCCGATGAGCACCTCAACAGCCTGAAAAGCAATTCTGGTTTTCCCGTTGTTCTGCAGAAATTTTAAGCAGTCTGCAGGCACTGCAATCCTTTTCACAACTGGTCCCTACACTGCGCTGGGTGATGAGCAAAAGTCTCCTTTAAGGGCAGATACTTGGGAGTACTATCACAAAGTATTCACCTTGTGCAACTGTTTCAGTGGAAGGCTGAGGCCGCAGTCTATTCTGGAAGGCGATTCCCCACTAGCCAAATTTCATTGGCATGACCTTCAGGAAGTTCTCTTCATATCAGTGTTCCTCATGCATTCCCCCTGTTTAAAACAAAAATATTAATATTTTTAAAATCGATGGATTTTCTGTTTAGCTTGAAGTTTGGGAGCATTAAAGTTATGTCTCCCTTAATAATATATCTAGAATATCTTAAAGACACTGTAAGTATGCTAATAATCCTATGTGTTTACGAAACACGTGAAAGTATTTTTTCTGTACTCAGGACAAGAGCAATCTCACACTTGTGTAGCAGCATATGTAGCTGTAAAGCATTAGCAAGGTGTTAATTAGACTTCAAAAAGATCATGTCTTTATTTTAAGATTCTGTTAATAAAAAGTAGAAGCAAGGAAAAAAAAATCACAATAGATAATTAGAACATGAAGTCTCTCATGGGAAAAGGCAGGATACAGGGAGGGCATGGCTGTAAGTAGGTTAGTCCCTGTCAGCACAATCACCACCCAGTTGTACCTTCATTTCACAAGTATAGTTTTTAGAATTTAATGAACTGCCATTTCTTTGCCTCATGTTTGTTTATTAACTTCCCAGACTTGGAACCAAGCATCAAAACTTGGTTTAAGTTTTGATGAGTGACGCATAAAAATTGTCTGAATGTACTTAATATAATAAAGTAAGTATCTGCAGCCCTGATTCTATTTTTAAGGATGTTATTAATTTCCATTAAAATCCCCTTTGTCAGTTTTTTCACAGTCCTCAAGGAACACTCATTTCTATGTAAAATATGCATTGTGGCTTCCTTTTAAGAGACATGATTCATTTACCCTGTTAAATTAGCATTAGGGAGATTTAACTTTTTAGTATTTTTTTTTACTGAAAGCATAATTGCTAAGTGACATTGTCTGGAAATCCCCAACACAGACAGGAAATTCAGAAGCCCATACTTACAATGCAAACTTTACTAAAATGATAATATCAGTCTTTCTTCATGGTGCTTTATTTTGTGCACTTGCCTGGTAAAGGGCTTTCTACTACATTTGATCACATTCAGTTATTCTGAAATCAATGCTAAGGTTTGATTTTTGGGTATTGGAGACTTTCAGGCCACAACAACAGCATTTTAAAACTTATTAGAATTTGTAGATTTCAGCAACTTTGTATTCCTCATCTGAGTGTTTAAAAATCTGGGACTTAGGAACTTTGTATGACTGTATGAACTTTGGCTAGCTTAAGTGGCAGACTTCCTGCTGTGCAAACCCAAACTCTGGAGGTCAAGCTTTACTGAGTTTTTTCAGTAAAGTCTTAACTAGACAAAAGAATTGGCAGTGACCTGTGCACACTCAGTGTGTCTATAGAAGATGTACTGGGCAGCATCCCTGTTGATGTGAATATGTTTTTCATCAACAGTACACAGAGCAACTACTGCAACTAACAATATTCTGGCCACACCTCACTTCTGACACCACTTCTCCTAACTTCTACTTATGTACCCCCTCCACAAGAAGGATTTAGTAGCTTCAGATATGGTTTCAAGCTCTTGGTCATGGCTTGATTTTGCAAGTGAAACTATAAAGGAAGAATGAAAGAGAATGCTACCAAAAATTAGAAGTATGGGTGATTAAATGTGAAAAGTCAAAAACAGTAACTCTAATACCAGTAATATCTCTCTACAGTGAAATGCATTTCTTGCATTATGCCCCAAAGGAAAATCACCATTTAGAATATTCAAAGTAGTTAAAACAATAACCAGAAAAACTTATCTTTTCAACTTTCTCAGCTAATGGGAAAAGAAAAAAAAAAGTGAGATCCTCCTCAAGCACATCATACCTTTTCCCACATTCAAATATCTTCTTGGTTTATAAGTTTGATTTGACACATTCAAAACGTTATTGAGAAACAAGCTTGTAAGAAACATCTGTGTTAACCCACTACAATTCGCCTGAGGAATCACAAGGAGAAGGAAGGACTGATAGCATTGCTTGCTAATGGGAAGCAACAGAATTCTGAAGAAAATTATCCTCTGGTATATCCAAAGCTAATTACCAAGAATATGCTGAATTTCATGCTGAGTATGAGAAGGTCTTAAAGTACCACATACAATTAAGGCAACAAGGAACAAGGAATACGGGGATGCTGAAGACTTAGAAAAGCTGAAAGAGGGTTTGGAGGATTTTGCCAATGACAGCAATGACCAGGACAGCAAAGACCACTTCAGCAATCCCAGCACCTCTGTCTAGTTGAAAACAAAATCCAAGAATTACACAAAGATGAAACTGAAAAAACAATTCAGAGAAGTAGTGGAACCTTTCCATTATTGAGCAACATGACTGATCTGAGTTAAAAGGTCATGGATTTAGTATGAAACAGGAACATGCTGAAAGGGCCTGATGGAAATACAATACTGAACTCCTCCTCTGTTCTTTTCTTACCTACAGTGATCAAAGAGCTGTACTGCTGTTCTGGCAGACAGAATATTCAAAAAGTACAGAATTGCAGAAGATACTTGATAGTGTGATGATTCAGAAGAATTTGACTGCCCCACAATCTCATTTGGCTTAAAATAAACTTGGTTTTAACATTTTTTCAAAACTCACAAACAGCAAGGAAAAGGGAGCAATTTATTGAGAGTACATGGTACCTTATGGACTGAGGTCACCTTTTATACTGGGGACTTTTAAGTCAGAAGCTGAATTACTTGGTCTGAAAATGTTTTCATTATCATGGGTTTGGTCTAGGGATGATGTAATGTTAATGGACAGAGGAGCTGCCAACAAACATGAACTGTATTTACAGACTTGGCAATGACACACAATATCCTGAATGTGTGGCCCCAACCTCAAATGCTGTAAGACATTGCTCAAGTAACAGCACAGATAAGAAGGCACAGTTTTTCTGACAGAGAAACTGTAATAAAGAGCTGCAGGTAAAGTTTCCTGGCATTGCATTCATTTGGCAGTCCTTCTGATAAAATCCAATTAAATGCTTGTATTGAATTGTTCTCTCCTCGTTTTTCTTGTGCAGTGCCCATAGCCTTTGATCCAAACCTCCCCTGGCAAGACCCACTTTCTCCAGGGAATATGTGCATGTGGGAGGAATTGGGTTACTTCTCTCCAGTTCACAAATGGAAACGGCTCTGACTCAGTCTCATGGTAAATAAAAGCAGTGCTTTCTCTACCATAAACAACTCTAATTTACATAAGCAGGCTATCCTCCCCAGGAGACTTACCAGTTCAGAAATGACACACTACCATTCTGTTCCACCTTAATCCAGAAAAAATGCTTTTATAAAAATTTGGACTGCTGAACTTTTACTTCAGTAGAGAAGTCCCTTGGGATAGGGGCGTAATCTGATTGAGATGATTAAGGCATCTAAAGAGGCAGGATCATCAAAAGAGAAATAACATCCCTTATATTTATTTTAAAAACTAAACAATGACTTGAAAGTAGAACTAGCCAGGGTGAAGTGTAGGCAATGTCAAGTGTACAGTGCTTTGTATACTTATAAAAATAGTCTGCAACACTCCTGGTCACTGAGGAGATCTCTGAAATTCGGAAGAAAAAATGTTCTCTTTGTAGATGGGGAAAACATCTGGAGCATAAAGATGCCACTTCTCTGAAAGGTCCTGCAATACTGGAGCCCATTACAGATTTAAATTCTAAATCTTAACCACTTGATTAACCTCCTATTTGTAAGAAAAGATTACAGTTATCTTCCAATGTGCCACCTCAATAAAAACAATATAAAGAATAATTTTTTCTCTCCCTTTTTTAAAGTTGGGTATGTTATAATCCTAGTGTCTTGCCCTGACTGCTGGATATATGGCTTTTATAGTATTGCTTTCACACTCATGTGCAGATGCAAATTTTGACCTCTTAAGGTGCTGTAATTTTTTGACAATATGTAATAGAGGTATGAATTGGTCTTTATCTCATAACTACAACATTTTCATACAACCACAAAGAAAAATAAACATTTAAGAATTGCAGCTTATGACTACAGACCACACAAGAAACACATGGACAGCAGTTCCTCATCAGAAACTCAGGGGAAGAAAAGGCTGTGCATGTCTGGGCAGGGAGGAAAAGAGAGAGGAAATAAGTCATAATAAAAATATTATCAAAAGCTTGATTAAATCGATACTATAGCTAACAAATCTAAACCAAAAATATACAAGTTCTAAACAGTCATCATGACCAGAGAAAAGGTTTCCTAACTGTTATACTCATAGAGACAAACATTTTCTAAAAAGGAAACTATCTTTCTGAGTTCCTTCTAGTTTGGACTCTTCAGAAATAGTTAGGGAGGAGTAGTGTCTCTCAGGAATTCTCACAAGAAAAAGGAAGTAACACTCCTACAAAAGAAAATCTAGCAAAGATTAAGTGCAAGTTCTCTCCAATATCCCTCAGAGGAAAGAGAGGTCTAACAAAAAAAAAAAAAAAAAAAAAAGAA